TATATATATATATATATAGCGAAAAAAAACAAATCGACAATTATAGAGTGTAGTATACATCCAGCTAACCGGTACATTTTGACAACAGTCTGGAACATCCGAGTTGTAAAAATGAATTAAATTTTGGTGGGCTAATAGTGAGTAGTGCACTGCCGCAACCGCGGTAATCGTCCCTGACAACCTCTCCTCCCCCCACCCCATCCCCCCACCCGCCGTCTATTTCCCCAATAGCAGCCTCTTCGTTTCCTTTTCAAGGAAGGTATTTAACCGCCAAGTGTGCTTTGTGCTTTTTTTTTTTCCAATAAATAGTGCTGTTAGAAGTAGGGAGTCAAGTAACCTCAATTTCAAGACGAATATTCTTAGAATACGGTATTTCTTGGCCACTGCTTCCTTTCGGCAATACATACAAAATTCCTGATATATTTGAATTATAAAGAGCAGTTTATTGCTGTACTCAGTTTGTCAGTAGAGTCCAAATCTTTATGATTTTTATTTTCGGGAATTAATTTTGGTGAGTTTTTTTTTCGGATGAAATCTATGGAACAGGTTATTAAGTTATGATCTAGAAGATGAGTAAATTTCATGTTTTGTGCAAACGCTCATAGACAAAAGCAAGAGGAACTATAACTTCAAGAAGCTGTTAAGATATTTTAAACAGTTCCAAACGACAGCTTTTGAATGCTAGACTGTTTTCGTTGTATTTTTTCACTTTTAATACGTTGCTTCCTCTTGTTACTGTACTTTTTTATGTCTTTTTTAAAACTTTTATGTTTTATTCATATATTTTAGTGAAAATAAAGAGTACACCGTGGATTTGCCGCTGCACGTTTGGAAAGTTGCGTTTTTACAGTATTAGGTGTTATTGAGTATTAAAGACAAGTTTTTCAGCTAGTGCTTTTACGATCTATTGAATAACTGAATGGTTATGGGTGGAAGGAAACGTCGCCGACAAAAGTGGTGAGCTCGTAAATGAGTTTTTCTGGTTTATAGTAAAGGCTTTTTTTTCTTTCTTCTTTTATGTGTAGTTTTCTTCCTGGCTGGAATAGTATAAAGACTTTTTAACGGTACCTGCATGTTGGTAGAAGTTGTTTACCACTGTAGTTACTTATCCGGGTTGCTTGAAACCTGTTTTTTTGTGTTGTTTCATTTTTCGTCTTTTGACCCACTTGCTTCAGCTGCGGTTTCAGTTTTTTTTTGCATCATATTTTGTTGATACAGGAAGGATGACGATGAGAATACTGGAGAATTGTTTGACGAAATAGACGAAGCCAATATGGAGTACAATGAAACCCCTAAATCGCAGCACATTCCTTCAAGGAGTCACGAGGAAGAAATATTGAATGTTGAAGGAGACATTTCAGATGAGGGTGACGGGGATGATTACCGTATTCCGTCGGATAAATCCAGCTTTGATAGTTCAGAAGAAGACAGCGATATAGAAAAGCGTGAGTTTCAGAAGAATGTTGCTGAATATTTGTAATGTGGTGATTGTGGGGTTTCAAGAAAAAAGAGTATTGGTAAAGGTTTACTTTGCAGCACCATCTACTTATTGTTTTTATATTGTAATTTTTCAAGCCAAAAACGGTTTAGTTTTGCCGTCTGCTGATCGGTGGAGTAAAAGGAAATCACAGTTCTACGGCACTTCTTACGTTGACGAAGACTTTGGTGGTATGAACGACAACGAACTTGAATTAGCTGAATTGGAAGAACAGGACGCTACGATGCGACAAAAGAAACTCGATGCAAATTTAGCCTTTTTACGGGCAGAAAAAAGAGTTTCGGTCAGCTTTTTCAAGTTTTTGCAGGGAGTTTTCCTTTACGGCCTTCCTTGAAACTTTCACTTTGCCCTTTTGTCTTTTTACTGAAGATTTCCAGCCTTTAACTGTTTTTCAGATACCTCTAGTTGTTGATTCTTTTGTTGAAGAAAAGAGAGAATTGCAAGTGGCGGAGATGTCTATAGATGAAAAGCTAGATCATTTTACTTCAAGAAATCCTGAGTTCAGCGAAATGTTGAAGGAATACAAAGAAAAGGTGATTTTTGTCGACGCTGCTGTTTCCATTTTAATTTGAAAGCCACTTTAGTATTAGTCATCGCTGAGACTTCTGTACGGCACATCCTGTTGTAGGATTTTTTTACTTCACTGTGAAGCTTAATAGTCTAAATTGCCTTGTAGAGTCGGGTATTCCTTACGAAGTTATTACCGCTAGAGGAAGCAGTAAGTTCAATTTTCAGAGAAAGAAAGACAGTTTTGGAAGAACAGATTTGTTTGGCATACAACGTTTTTCTAAGGTGGGTTTTTTCCATAACTAATAGTTGATGTGGAAGCAATAAATGGTCTAAAAACTTTAATTTCAGCTATATCTTGAATATATTGTTCTATTTTCGTTTGAAGTTAACAGAGGGATTGGCCTCTGAAGAATCTAGAAGATTTTTGGAAGACCACCCCGTCGTTGATGCAATCATCGACATGAAAAAGGTATGAGATTTTTCTAAGTATATGGTCAGAAAGTACGTTAGCAGTTTGAAGTGTACTGTATTAAGGCTTCGTATCCTAACATATCTACTGGTTCCGCACACACTTATTTCACCTCAGCTGTTTCTTACTCGTCAAGATTAATAAAAATTTGATCAGCGGATGAACTAGATAAATTTCAGATGAAGGATCATATTGTTTGAATTTTTTTTGAAAATATTTCTGGATGTTCTTCATCTTATTTATTTCTGAAGAGTGTTGTTTGGTAACGTTCGGAAAAATTGTTTCGAGGGAAAAGTAATTGAAGCCAATTTAGCGTGTCAACTGCTTTTAAAAAATATTATAACTTGTACTCCATAGCTATTCCACACGTTGTATTAGAGTAAAATATAGCTTGCAGATGGTGGTGCGGGTCGAAGATTTTTTGCAGAGGAGTGATGAAGTCTTGAACAGTCTTATAATTCTGCATAAGAGTGGGTCCTCCGTGGATGCTGTCTTGGAGTCAACTAGGCTTTATAATGATGTGCAAGAAGGGAGAAGAAAAAAGAGCCATTTGGCTGTAAAATCGGTTACGTCCGAAGACCCATTAGATTCAGAAGGTGACGAGTACGCAACTTCTAGTCTTAATTCTCCAGAAGATGTAGATGGTGACAAATATAAAAAGCGAGCTGTGACATCTGAGGTTTGTCTTTTTTAAACAGTGAAGGTGAGCAGTCAAGACTTACATTTTACCAGAAAAATGGATGCTGAAATACTTGTTTGAGAACGCATGCGATTGAATTTTTAGTTCAAACTTTAATTTGCATAATAAGTTGAGGCTATGGAAGGCCGGAGGTGGAAGTTGCTTGAGTTTACTCATTTGTCACTGCTAAAATTTATAAGAAAAGAAGCTAGTTTTATAAAAGTGGTTTCTTGTTTCTTTGGAAAATTTAAAAGTTCTTGATGGTTTGATATTAAGATCAGAGTAATGAGAGATGGGAACTAATGCTCTTCAAATGCAATTTCAGTAAAAACATCAATGATTCATTACGTAGTTCTCGAGGAATTTTGCTAAACTGTTGTTTTCTAACAGGAAATTAGAAAAATCTGCTGATTTTTAGATCTCAAGGCTGATTTGATTTTGATCTGACCCAGGGTCGGACATTTGTTATTTAGTTTTCTTATTCGAAGTATTGCACAAGGCTTTTGAATTGCTTTCCTGGATGTCAGATCGTATGTAAGCTTGCTTGCAGATACAGAGAAACAGGGGCTTCAAATTAAAAGGGAAGAAAGTGCTTCGGCATTCAAGAGTCAAAAAACGAAAGCAGTACGAGAAGGCCCTTGTCAAGAAACGCTCTCAGAGACCAGACGTAAAGCAGCAGATGAAACCTTATGAAGGCGAGAAACGCGGCATTCGGATTTCAAGCGTTAGGAGTATTAAACTAAAAGCTTGAGTCATGTTTTGAAGCTTATATCAAGTAAAAGAGCTTTTGCGGTGTCCTAGATAAGTTGTTGAGCTGCAATGACAACAGTTTTGATTTACTGCCTCATAACTTCTCATGTAAAGGCGGAGTAGATGAGATTTTGTGACTCTTTAATCCTTGACAGTTTTTAACCTGCAGTTTAAATTCTTTTGCGTGTTGGGGGCGACCGTCAAATTTGTATTATCGAATCCAAACCGTCCCGTTATACTCTCAGGAATTTATTTGAGGCAGCTGGAACAACCACTTTTGTTTTAGGGCAAGTTTGATCATCTTGGAAGAAAAGTTTATGCATGTTTGTTCGTCAACTTCGCCCATAACAGAATAAGAACTGTACTAATAAACAAAATACAAGTAAAAAGAACAGTTACTGAATTGAATTACAAACACACAATTTTCTTTGACAATTTTTTCAAACAAAATCAACTATAAATTTAACAGAAAAACATGGGTTTAAACAACAGAAAAGGCCCACAGTAAACAGAAAACAAGTTCCGCGTAGATCTTCTCCGCCGTTCAATAAAATGAAAAAATTCTCTTTGCATATATGGCATTTGGGAAGTTCTTTTCATTATAAAAGGTAAGAAAGCTAATAAATTACACTGGTTCTAAGGCCACAATCTCACTCGCTCCGCAGACAAGTTTACACACTCACGCACAGGATTACATGGGGACTACAAAAGTGGCGCACGTTCTTTCCATACAAAATGACGGGCCGAAAGAAAGTTGGCTGGAAACTGCGGAAAGAACAGGCACGTGTTTTGTATTTGTTTATGAGACGAGGTCATCCGCCACAGTTCCCGCGCTGCTTATCAAAAGCATTTTTGTTCTAGGCAATTTTTGAAATAAAGACTTAGCTTTCTGGATTAAGGAAAATAATAACCGTAACTCATCGGTCACCAATTTCTTGAATTAAATTTAAAGCAGGGGCGGGAACAACAGAAGATTATGAAAATACAACAATTGCACAATAATAAAATCCATAAAACATATCACAAACACAACCTTCGAAGTATAGCTTAAAGATTTTCCAAAGCTGCACCCGCAACAAACAAACTTAAAATTAAAAATAACGTAAATACTAACTTTCCTAATCTTTTCTGCCTTCTTTTCTCTAACTTTTCCTACAGTGACTTAAAGCATTCCGCTTAAACAGTGGAATTTGAGAAGAAAAATGCATAAGAAGTCAATAAAAAACATTGAGTACCAGACAGACTGACTATGGCAATGTTAAGTTTCGGAACTAGTAGAACATTTCCGCTTCAGACGCCTTCGGCATAACCCACTGCCCAAAATTCTACTC